GGGAGAGAGAGAGAGATGGTGAGAGGAAGAGGAGAGACTGAAAGTAGCGCAAAAAGCTTTGTTAAGGTGGGACATTGTGCAGAGAAACAGTACGGTGATTCTCCCTCGTGCAATAACCCATGCCATATGTCTCGGGGAAAAACTGAGGGCCAACTCGGACGCCCTCAGCCCAGGCCGAAACAGGGGCAAAAGACCCCACACGAGGACTCAGGGCCTGGACGTGCGGTTGACTTTGGTCAACTGTCGGGATCCCAACAGTCAAAGTCCGAAGGTACCTAGCCCAGGCCGCTGGTCCAGCACACACACTTGTTTGTATGCAGGTACCCAGACAGCATCAGGTCCAAGGGAGAAGTCTGCAACTGCATAATCTGGGCCCTCAGCTGTGAATCAATCTGGACGACTGTGGTAAAAACACCTGAGGCCCGACAGCCTCGACCATTGCTACTTAAGGCTGGCCTCGAGTGAGTCAAGCATTCAGTCTTGCTATGCTGCTTTGACGCTGGCTCTACTTTGACTAGACACTGGCTTTATGCTGGCGCGACGCTGGCTATAGGCTGGCTGTGCATTGGCGATGCGGACGACGGCACGAGATGGAGGCAGCATGCTGGCGCTTTCTGCACTGTGTGCCAGGCTTGCTGAGGTGGCATGCTGAGGTGGTGCTACCACTGACTCTACATTGCATGCTGACATGGCTGCACTGTGTGCCAGGCTTGCTGAGGTGGCATGCTGACGTGGTGCTACCACTGACTCTACATTGCATGCTGACATGGCCCTACCACTGGTCTACATTGCATGCTGATGTGGCGCTACCTCTGGTCCTCTGGTCTACTTTGCATGCTGATGTGACACTACCACTGGTCTTCATTGCATGCTGATGTGGCGCTATCTCTGGACTACATTGCATGCTGATGTGGTGCTACCTCTGGACTACATTGCATGCTGATGTGGCGCTATCTCTTGTCTTCATTGCTGATGTGGCATATGCCACCTGTCTGGACTGTTGATGTGGCATTGTCCACGCTGTCTACATGAGGTGACTGGTTGCGAGAAGGAGGGGAAGATCGGGATCTGTGTGGGTACTCACCTGAGTTTGACGTCCTCACTGGAATCTGCTATGTCTTCATGGTCTTCATGAGATAAAGTGCCACGTGGCACTATTGTGTGTGATCAGAAATATACTTATTATCATTGTTCATGTGGAGAGGGAAGAGGCCCAGAGAAGGAGAGGGGTCCGAAGGGCTAATTACTGTGTGATCTCTCATCTTCTCCTTTGTCTATTTCCCCTCCACTCTCTTCTTGTGATGGTAATGAGATAGTGTTTGAGATATCACTTCACGATTTGGAGACTTTGATGCAGATAATGAGACCACTGATGTTTGACAACTTCTGAGTATCTGCCAGTCTGGGTTCATTACACTCGATTTACATACACACAAAAAAAAAAAAAAGTTTTTCCACGGAAAAATCGATTTGGGTGACGAACTTCTCGTCCGCTCTTCCCTCGATTTTACACGGAAAAAAAGAAAACAAACATGGTCAGAAAAAAGAAAAAAGTATTCCTTAACCCATTTATAGCCTTTATAGGGCGGGGTGCAACATGCATCCCCCTAATTGTGACAGGTAGCTATGCTTGCAGGGGTCCCCTGCGGCCCTGCCTGTTTAGGCTTGGACGTAGTTGTAGGTAGATAGTGAAAGGTGAAACGGGATAGCGTGAACACGGTTCTGGCTGCTAAGGGGTTTCGAGTATGACTAGAATTAGGAGCAGTGGTAGGTAGGTAGGTACTGGGAGATGATTTTTTTAATTTTTTTTTAAGGAGATGGAATTGAGAGAAGAATGTAGCTTACTTTTTCAAAAAACAAAACAAAAAAAAAAAAACGATTCGGCTGACGAACTGCTTCTCCTCTCTTCACCCGTTTTTCTTGATGGGGACGTTGACCCCCCCCTTTGCGGCTTCCGCCTACACATGACTGTATCTGACCGAAAAGAGTACCTGTATACATTCATGAGCAGGATGCGTTCTGTTCGAGAAAAGACTACCTGTATTTTGAATTAATGACTACCTTGATTAATTGGTTAATATGAAAGTGATCTGGCGGGGCCCAAACAGATATTACCCCCCTCGTTGTGGCCGTACTCCCTCCTCGGACTGCTCCACCCACTCGTGATCCCGATCTCGAGGAGTGGTAGCGGCCGCTGATACTTGCAGATGCGTTGGCTGACGATATATCGTCGGGACTCCCAGACTCCGCTGCTTAAAAAAAAAAAAAAAAAAAACCCTCTTCTGCTTGGTAAGTCGAAGATCGTGAGTTCGATCCTCACTGTGGGCACATCAGCTTGATGTCGTTTTTCACTGGACTAAGATCATATGATCGTGCGTATGCGTGAAATCTCAACCTCACCCACTCTCAAACTCCTCACACCTTTTTTTTTCTTTTTTCTTTTTTTAATTTTTGGTTCTTCTTTTCACTTGAGAAAAAAAACACCTTTTTTTTTTTTTTTTTTTTTTTTTTTTTTTCTTCTTTTTATTGAAAGGGCGACGGCCTTGGGGTATCATCATCGAGCGACGAGCTGACCTGCCTTTTTTTTTTTGGTTCTTCTTTTACTTGAAAGTGTTTCAGAATTATTTCATTCCGTTCATCCAGGTCCATCAGGTTTCGAACTTCGGTCTGTATTTCTTCTTCTTCTTCTTCTTTTCTTCCCCCAACAGCTCGTTTGTTAGATGGCAGAGTAGAGACTGAACTTATTGCAAAACCATTTTCTTTTTTTTTTTTACAATAAAAAAATATTTTCTTCTTCTCTTTTAACCAAGGCAATCCTCGTTCGTCCCTCGCTTCCACCGCTTACCTCCTGTCTGCTAATTATCGATGCACCTGGACTCGCAGTTGGTCCAAATACTGCTATAATGACCCTACATTTTATTTTGGTGAAGACGGTAGTTACGTCCTTCAATTGGGTGGGCGCTTCCGTCCGACCTCAGGTCTGTTTCTCAACAGTTCAGCTCAGAGGTGTGTACCAACGGAGCTAGGCTGGTTGGTCACTCTCTGACTACCCTCCCAATCAGATTGACCAATTTTTTCTTTTCTTTTCTTTACTTAAAATTAAATAGATTTACCAATTCTAAAAAACAAAAAGAAAAGGAAAGGAAAGATTCAGCACTTCTAGCAAGCGTGTCCTTTACACTCAGTCTCGCATCAATGACCACCGAAATCACTACTGTAAAGGGAAAAAAAA